TTCATTGAATTCTCTCGCATCACTAAGCAGCACTTTCTGAAATTTGCAACACTGTCGCGCAGTAGCAGTCGTGTAGTTGCCGACTACACTACTGTACACGGTACACTACTAAATCTCCATTCATTCTGTTGTATTTTCTTATAAATTTTGAATTAGTCGCCGGTTTACTGTAGTGATTTACGGAATATGAAGTAACGTATGAAATAATAAAGTATGGAATAATTGTTTGATGATTCGTTCCATCAATTGACGTGCGTGCGCTCTCTGTTTGCTGAATCGAATAGAATTCATAAATAAAATAAAATGAAATATTGCATCGAATTTGAATGAAACTATGATAAATGATAAATTTAAGCAATTTTGCAATTAACAAAAATTCATTTTTTTTTCCCCGAAGCCCTTATCATTTCTTTTTAAGCTTTGTTTTTGTTGACTACAATAACAAAATGTTTCTATGATGCTGGCTATTCACATAAACCTCCATTCTTAATGGACTACTTGGAATATTCGTTCAATGTAGCCAACCAGCGAAGCGAGCCTAGCTATAAATGGTGTGGATTATATGAACATATTTGTCTTCGACAAGTTTTGCACAAGGCGATTCTTATTTAACAGTCAGCCGCGGAGATCAATCATTTTACGCTGGTTTTAAATGTTCTATTTCCTTCTTTCATCATATTTCTAAATTACAGTTGATGTGAAACAAAGAATTTGATTATTAAATATGCTATTGAGATTTGAAAGAAATGGTTTCAAAACAAAGACGTTAAAAAGATTTTGAGCAAATTTTATAGCATTTGGGTAAAATCAGTGCCAACAAATTCCCTTTGAAGAATTTATTATTTAAATTAATTAAATTTATTTTATCGATCGCTTGCATTTGAAGCGCTTCAGGTTTGTCCTCGGTTGGAATACCTTTTGGTGCGAAACTTGATGTCAGTTGTTTTTTAACCTTTATTACTGTCTATTCTTTAAAATTTAAATGTGTTGAATTTATTGTATCTTTTAGCCAATTGCATTTGCTTACAGCGCTATTATCAAGGAATTTTTTAAATAATTGAATATTCTGCAAGAGGATATCCAACTGTGGAATCTTCTCGTGAAGACCCATTTTAACCATCCATATTTGTCCCGCTTGCAGCTAATTTAGCAAACAATGCGAATGAGTTTCGTAATTAAATTAAACTGCCTATAAAGATTATCTTTGGGTTTTCTCTCCCGTATTTTCATTTCCATAGTAGTGCTGATTGGGGGCCATCACTCCCGTATCCAGTGCAGTTGTATAAATCCGATAGGTTTAGTGAATGCTGTTAGAAAAAGCCTACAATAGCATAATTTAATGGATTTTCTAATAGGACTATTGGTTTGTTCTTGCAAGCAAAAAATTCTCTATATGAAAATAATAAAATTTCGTTACAAGAGGGAGTGATTGTGAGATCTCTGAATGAGATTCCAATTTTCTTTTACAATTCTATTTAATTGTTCGAATATCGATATAAATATAGTTCTTATATATATATATATATATATATATATATGAAAAACTGTACAAAGTTTTTCATATCAACGAACTGATAAGAGAGTGGCTATTATTCATCAATTCTCCTATGCTAGCTGGCTGACTGTGCTATGGCTAAAAATGTTGGTCAGTAAGCCATTAGCTCAGAAGGAGAAGGAGATAGGCAATTAGTACTCTACAATGAACAAATAAGATTGAATAAGATCTCCCTTCTATTCATTAAAATTGAATTTAAAACTTTATTATCCTTAAAAACAAATAACAATATACGTGAAAGCAAGCAAACAGTACATCAAAATTAATACTAGGTTAAGAAAATTTTTTTATGATATTTTTCAACTATTTAGCTCATTAAAGAAATTGTGCAATGATCATTCGCTTTTATGGATAAACAAATGGACAAACCTTCTTATCACTTATCAGTTAATAGAATCCCAATTCAAATTACCACCTGAAGAAAGAAAGCTCTTTCATTATTATTTATTCGCGTAAGAAGTGAATAAATTTTAAAAAATCAAAAAAAAATTTCTATTTTGGGTTGAAATTAAAGGCAATTAAAAAGCAATAATTAGCATAAAAAATATGAAAAGCAGTTTATTCAACAAATAAAAATTAACCGGTTAAATGCTAAAAATGAAAATTAATAAAGATTTTGCTGTAGTATTTAGTTGCCAATTGCTTTTCATGCATAAAAAACTATTTCGATTAAATTTCGAAATTCACCATTTATGGAACGAAAAATTATTAATTTCAATTATAACAATCATTTTTTTTATATCGCGGCTACTTTTTATCCTTATGAAAATTTTAGGGCAATAAGGGATATTTATCCTTAACACGAATATGTAGGGAAATAACCAGTCAAACAACTATCTTTTTTTGCAACCTACTTGCAAGGTTTTGAAGACAATCCTTTGAAAGAAAGAAAGTTCTCTGGCAAATATTTCTAATCGAATCAAGTTGGCAAAATCCCCTCAAACTTTCGCATCAAACAATGCTGTCCGGACATTCACCACCAGCACCTGGTAAATCACAAAGTCCACATGTATGTGGGAAAAATTCGAATTTGCTAAGATAAGGCACATTTCTGCACATTTCTGCGCATTCTGCACGTTTCTTGCTTAAAATTCTCGCATTGTCAAACTGAAATGATCACTGTATGGAATTCATTAAATAAAATAATACTTTTTATTATATAAATTATAATCATATTAATTATATAATAAGTAATAAATAAATATATATCAAAAAACAAATAAATAAAAATCTAATAAATATATTATAT